ACTACCAGCTTCTTGCTCCTAGTAGCGATGCCCTTCGCTCCTAGTAGGGTCCTTGCTCCTAGTAGTAAGGCCAGGAGCACCTAGTAGCGTCTTGCTGCTACCAGCTTCTTGCTCCTAGTAGCGATGCCCTTCGCTCCTAGTAGCGTCTTTGCTCCTAGTAGTAAGGCCAGGAGCACCTAGTAGCGTCTTTGCTACTACCAGCTTCTTGCTCCTAGTAGCGATGCCCTTCGCTCCTAGTAGGGTCCTTGCTCCTAGTAGTAAGGCCAGGAGCGACAAGCAGGACAAGCAGACCCGGACAAGGCCTGTATCATCACCAGTCACCAGCGCAGGAGGACACCAGGAGGACGCAGGGTCGAGGACACCAGGAAGACAAGAAGGGCCAGAGGACAGCAGGATGACAAAAGAAGGACACAGGGTTCGCAAGCATTGCCACAGGACAGCAGGAGGACACCGGCCAGGGAGAGACACCACGAGGACACCGGCACAAGGACAGCAGGAGGAGAAAAAGGGGAGACGGCGCGGCCAAAGGACCGGAGGCGATGGCCCCTGGTTTCAGATACATTTCCTCTACAAACAGGGGATTGACCACGATACCATGTTTGTTGGCAAGTCAAAACTGGTTCCCTCCCAATGGGTGGAACCAAGGTTCCCTTGGCTTCGAAGCCACTTCGAAGGTCTCTCCAAGGCCGATGCTGAGGAATGTGTATCTCTATGGATGTACCTGGAACCCGACTTTGTTCGTAAGAAAATGGGACAGAGCATTAGCCGCTAGCCCAATTATGGAACATGTACCCATTTGGAGAGTTGTTTGAGGGTCCTGTTAGTTCCCCTACAAATCAGGTGGTTTCAAACTCTTTCAAGAACATGCTGTTGGTCAACTTTTCAGGATCAACAAAGTCCACACTGAAGAGTTTTGCATCCAGCACGTTCCAGAAACGTCCCTCAGCCACCCACAAAAGTCCTTGTTTGGCGGAAAGGTCACCCAACCCCTCATGATCCAAGTGTCCGCAAAGACGTGGATGGTCATAGAACCCATGCCGCAAGTCGAAGACTCTTCGAAGACATCCGCTGCGCAGAAACGGCTGCGACAGAACCCAGGAATTCTTTTCGAAATCAGAGCTGGCTAAGCTGCAGGAACCACAACTCAGCCGCAGGAAAGGCCACCCCCACTTCATCATGACTGGTCCTGTCTTCAGTAGACAAAAATTCCCAGAGGTCCAGGACAGAAGGGAAGGAGGTCCAGGGTGAATGGTGAAAATTGACCTTCGCCATCTGGGTGTGGAGAGAAACCAATTTATATAGTTTGATTCCTTGGCCCTTGTGAGCATCCTAAAGATGTGGGAGACTGGAGAGGAGAAATCCATGTGGCCAAAGCGGTTCGCATCTTCGAAATGCCCATCCATTCATTCGTTGAAAGGAAACTTGGATTTGCTGTCCAGGAACCGGGACAAAACATGTTCCTCGGGGATTCACTCAGCAATGGGGAAATTCATATCAATACGCAAAACCAGTTAAAATAACAGTCAAAAAACTAACATCACCAAAGATTTGCTGACTCCCTCAGTTTCCCTAAGACAAAGTTTTACTTTGTTCCACCTCTTCACGTTGAGGGAAAAAATACCCCAGTGATAAGGTTTTGCAGGTGATCCAACTTTTCCTGGGTAGGTTTGACTGACCAAAATCAGGTTTCGCACATACATGTATATATATATATACCTTCTCAGGTTCGGTACGACTGGATCCTCACTGAAGCCTACATAATTACATAAGTTACATAAGCTTGTCTCCCTGCTCAGATCTCAGAAGCTGTTGGCAGTGGATCCAGAATGTAGACTCTTGATTGAAAAATAATTACATAATATGAAGAGGTTGTTCAATCCAAATGGAGGGGGTTATGCATCAAAAGCTCGCCCAACGAAGCCGCCTGCGGCCGCTGTGAGGAGACCTAGCTCGAGCTTCGGTCGAAAAGATCGAAGAGCCACAAGAAGGTCGTGGGGGTGGGACTCGTTGATGCTCCCATCCCATGAGATCCACGGGACCCGCTCAGAAGAGATAAGTACGGTACATACTAATACATATAGTATATTATAGTTTAATATATATATATATAGGATGTTCATCTATTTTCATATTATATATATAGAGATGCAGAGTCTGGAGTCTGGAGTCTGGATGCCGGAGTTGCTGGTTTGGCTCCATAGAGATCGGACTTCAAGCTGATTCAACCTATTGGGATCGGTTTTGGCATCCTTCTTCGCTGGGATCTTTGGGTGAGCCTCCAGGGCGGGGTGACTGTGATTTGACACTGGGCCATTCAGGTTGGCTGTCTTTCAAGGGGCATCCACAACTCCATGCTTTGTTTTGGGAATGATTGTGCAGGAACTATCACCTTAGGTTCGACAGCTTTGGGCCTGTTCATTTTCGGGCGTCAAAACCGACAAAGCTGCCAAAGCTATAATTCTGCCAATTTTACTTTAGATGCCTTTTCACAAACTCGGCAGAATCCTGTGATTTTGCATTTAAAATAAAAACAAAGAAAACAACAGAACACAATTCTTGGAGATCCTCTCTTCCACCCCAAGACCCGTTGAATTCCTGAGGCCTCGCACTTCAGCGCCGCACCGCACGTCGCACCCGCGTGGGGAGCGGGGCGGGGAGCGGTGCGGAGGTCGTGCTGCTGGAGCCAAGGGATGTCCTTGAGGTCCGTTCGCATGGGGTCCCAATCCTGCGGTCCATGGCAAGTTGCGGCAACACGAGAACTGTGGCGGTGGTCGGGAAAAAAGCAGTTGCATTTTGCCAGGGCCATGATGTGGTTGCTCCTTGAAAAAGGAGCCGCCAAATTTTGACCAAACAGGAAATAGTCACAAAAACATCCAAAAACAATCCACCCCAAACACCAAACACCCAAGACTGTTGCTGGTTCCTGTGTGGGCCTTGCTCGAAGCTGTTACACAAGTCTTTAAGCTGTTACACATTCCATCCAACTCTGTCGCCAGGTCCCCCACTCTACGAAGTAGGAGGCTCGGGGAAACACCCCTTCCCCAAACACCCCCCACCGGCTCCATGGACATCACCAACGAACTGAGAGTTCCAACAAAACCCACAAACCGATGGAAACGCGAGTGACTGGGCCGTCCTCACTGGGTCCAGGCCTCGGATGACTGGACCGTTGGTCGGAATGCTTCTGGCGACCAAACATGAAATCCATCGACCAGGAGCTTCCAAGGTTGGAAGTGTTTGGAGCCCCAAACAAGTTGTCTTTCGGCACCTGCTGCCTGCTGCCACCTGGAAACAGTGTTTTTTAATTCTCCTG